TATTTGTTCACTGACTCAGCTTTCCTCCTGCAGTCGGCATCATTGCCTCTGTTTTGTGAGGTGGAGGACTTTGTGGACTGGTGTTGGGTAAATGGGTTAATATTGGACTTGTGGGCTTGGGCAGCATTGGGTTGGGATGTTTTCGTGATGCACACTTTCTTTACATAAAACTCTCTCTTATACACAAGTGGCTGTGGATTTGTTTCTCCAGAGTACCCAAACTAATACATCAGGGAATTAGAATCTTTTGAGGAGAAATGATAAATACATGCTGTCACTACTTCCACCGAATAGTAACGATTTTAAATTAAAAATAAAGGAAAAATCTTGCGTACAGATTATTTTGGGGGTTCTTGGAATTATTGATTTTGTCTTTTGTATGTATACTACTACTAGTAAGCTATTATCCACGTAATATTTAATAGCAACCAGGAAGTGGGTACTGTGGAACTCAATTAGATTTTTGACTGATAACAAAGTTCCTATACTTACCATTGATACTCTAAGGGAGTTCAAAATGTTCATAGGAAAATTCTATTATTTTAAAATTCCACTTCCCCATGAAGTTTTTAAGGTGCTTCATCCATTTTCTTCAACTAAGATGTGAAGTCTTACACAAATTTATTTAGTATAAGAGAATACAATTAATCACTAAGGGGATTAGGACACAGTTAGGAAAATGACTCTTTTTGTAAGAGTTAGCACACAGGAATGCACAACATTTTCTTCCGATGACCCCAGTAACCATGACCTACTTTTTTTTTTTTAAAGCTGCATTGTGCACAATACAAATACCTGTCAGTTTGTTGCACTATGGTGACTTGCATGTTGCATGGTACTGGAAGCTAATCCACTGGTATTACAAATACCAGCAGGGTCACCATGATGGACAGATTTCAGCAGAGTTTCCAAAATAATACAGAGTAGGAAGAAAGGCCCAATAATGTACTCCCAAAATGAGACAATTTGGATCATACCAGAATACCGTACAATCTAGGTTCTAGATGTTGAGCCATCTAGACTATAGAAGCCCTTAATACTGCAACTGTGGCTTGATTTGTTTCTTCAATCCTTTAAGCTTGAGAAATGCTGAGTGTGCTTTTCCTTTGTGGCTTTCTAACTCTGTGTCCTTACACATTTCATTGTAAGGCTTTGTCTCCTGAAGCACCCGTTGGAACTTTCTGCTAATCTCTTCGTTATTTTGTCCATTATTTTTAGCTACTCTAAATTCAAGGGCAAGTTTCAGAACCTCTTTTGACATCCACTTTGGTCTTTTCTTTCTTTCTTGTATTTTTAGCAATGTTTTGCTCTCTTCCTGTATAATGTTCTTGATGCCATCTCACAACTTGTATGTTTTTTAATCACTAGTGCTCAGTGCATCAGATTTATTCTTGAGATATTGTCTGAATTTAGGTGACATATACTCCGGGACATAGTCTGACATTTAGACTGCTTCTATTTTCTTCAGCTTAAACCTGAGTTTGCTTCAGAGCAATTGATGGTTGGTTCCACAAGGAAACTCTGGCCTCATTTTGGCTGATGGTATTGACCTTCTCCATTGTCTCCATCTGACAGTTGTGGTTGATTTGAGTCTTGTGCATTCTATTTGGCTAATTCCATGGCCATGGCTCTTGTTAATGTTGTTGAAAACAGGCATTTTCAACAAAGAAGTCATTGGCCTTGCAAAGTTTTATCATGTAAACTCTACTTTGTTTCTAACCTGAATGCCATATTTTCCAAGTGCTGTCTTTTCTTGTTTCCAACTTTCATATTTAAACTGTCAGAATTATAAATGCACCATGATTGCATGTTTGATCAATTTCAGGCTGAAGAAGCTGGCAGAATTCTTCAATTTCGTCAACATAAGCTTTAGTCGTTGGTGCATAAATTTTAATAATAGTTAAATTAAGTGAACTTCCTTGTAGGCGTACAGCTATTACCGTGTCACTGACAGCATGGTACTTCAAAAATAGATCTTAAAATGTTCTTTTTAGTGATGAGTGCAAACCATTTCTTTTTTTTAAAACATTTTATTAGGGGTTCATACAGCTGTTATCGCAATCCATACACACATCAATTGTGTAAAGCGCATTTGTACATCATTCTCAAAACATTTTCTCTCCACTTAAACCCCCGACATTA